TAAACCTACCTAAGGAGGCAAGAGACTTGTACTCAGAAAACTATAAAACACTGATGAAAGAAATCAAAGATGACATAAACAGATGGAAAAATATACCATGTTCTTGCATTGAAAGAATCAATATTTTGAAAATGACTGTACTCCCCAAAGGAAACTACAGATTCAATGCAATCCCTATCAAACTACCAATGGCATTCTTCATAGAATTAGAACAAAAAATTTCCCAAAGTGTATGGAAACACAAAGGACCCTGAATAGCCAAAGCAATCTTGAGAAAGAAAAATGGAGCTGGAGGAATCAGGATCCCTGACTTCACACTATACTTCTAGCTACAGTAATCAAGACAGTATGGTACTGGCACCAAAACAGAAATATAGATCAATGGAACAGGATAGAAAGTCCGGGGATAACTCCCCACACATATGGTCACTTTATCTTTGATAAAGGACGCGAGAATATACAATGGAGAAAAGACAGCCTCTTCAGTAAGTGGTGCTGGGAAAACTGGACAGCTACATGTAAACGAATGAAATTAGAACATTCCTTAACACTATACACAAAAATAAACTCAAAATGGATTAAAGACCTAAATGTAAGACCAGACACTATAAAACTCTTAGAGGAAAACACAGGCAGAACACTCTATGACATAAATCACAGCAAGATCCTTTTTGACCCACCTCCTAGAGAAATGGAAATAAAAACAAAAATAAACAAATGGGACCTAATGAAACTTAAAAGCTTTTGTCAGCAAAGGAAACCATAAACAAGACAAAAAGACAACCCTCAGAATAGGAGAAAATATTTACAAATGAAGCAACTGACAAAGGATTAATCTCCAAAATATACACGCAGCTCATGCAGTTCAATATCAAAAAAAGAAAAAACCCAATCCAAAAATGAGCAGAAGACCTAAATAGACATTTCTTCCAAGAAGATATACAGATTGTCAAGAAACACATGAAAGGATCTCAACATGACTAATCATCATGGAAATGCAAATCAAAACTACAATGAGGGGCTTACCTGGTGGCGCAGTGGTTGAGAGTCCGCCTGCCGATGCAGGGGACACGGGTTCGTGCCCCGGTCTGGGAAGATGCCACATGCCGCAGAGCGGCTGGGCCCGTGAGCCATGGCCGCTGAGCCTGCGCGTCCGGAGCCTGTGCTCTACAATGGGAGAGGCCACAACAGTGAGAGGCCCGCGTACTGCAAAAAAAAAAAAAAACCCAAAAAACTACAATGAGATATCACCTCACACCAGTCAGAATGGCCATCATCAAAAAATTTACAAACAATAAATGCTGGAGAGGGTGTGAAGAAAATGGAACCCTCTTGCACTGTTGGTGGGAATGTAAATTGATACAGCCACTATGGAGAACAGTATGGAGGTTCCTTAAAAAACTAAAAATAGAACTACTGTATGACCCAGAAATCCCACTACTGGGCACATACCCTGAGAAAACCATAATTCAGAAAGAGTCATGTACCACAGTATTCATTGCAGCAGTATTTACAATAGCCAGGACATTGAAGCAACCTAAGTGTCCATCAACAGATGAATGGATAAAGAAGATGTGGCACATATGTACAATGGAATATTACTCAGCCTTAAAAAGAAATGAAATTGAGTTATTTGTAGTGAGGTGGATGGACCGAGAGTCTGTCGTACAGAGTGAAGTAAGTCGGAAAGAGAAAAACAAATACCATATGCTAACACATATATATGGAATCGAAGAAAAAAAAAGATTCTGAAGAACCTAGGGACAGGACAGGAATAAAGATGCAGACATAGAGAATGGACTTGAGGATATGGGGAGGAGGAAGGGTAAGCTGGGATGAAGTAAGAGAGTGGCATGGACATATTTACACTGCCAAATGTAAAACAGATAGCTAGTGGGAAGCAGCAGCATAGCACAGGGAGATCATCTCAGTGCTTTGTGACCACCTATAGAGGTGGGATAGGGAGGGTGGGAGTGAGACGTAAGAGGGAGGGGATATGGAGCTATATGTATACGTATAGCTGACTCACTTTGTTATACAGCAGAAATTAACACACCATTGTAAAGCAATTATACTCCAATAAAGATGTTAAAAAAAAAGAAACTATTAATTATCAAGTTTTGGCATAGTATCAAAGAATATCCACAATTATCTGAAAAGGCTATTAAAATACTTCTTTTTCCAGTTTAAGAAAAGCAGGTATGGACATTAAGTGAAGTTAAGAGTTGTGATTATTTCTGAATAAGGATATTCTAATTTCTGAATCGAGACCACATTTATGTTTAAAATGACACTATTCATTGTAGTACCTTAGACTGGTCAGAATGGTAATGAGACCCTCCTAAGTGTTCATCCAGGGATGAGAGGAACACCACCCACTTATAAACAAAATGCAGACATGGACATGGAGGGACAAAGGCACTAAATCAAGGTGGAAAATGATATGACTCGAAGAGCAGATGATCACATTATAGAACATGAAGACACTTAGAACATTTTAATCACAAAATTCAAGGTAGCTATAGCCAAGTGGAATAGAGGGTGCTTAATAGTGTTACACAGGGTACAACATAGATCCCATGACTTCTTTACCTTCTAAAAAAATTTTGTATTTTTAAATTGAAGTAGAGTTGATTTACAATGTTGTGCCAATCTCTGCTGTACAGCAAAGTGACTCAGTTATACACATCTAGACTTTTTTTTTTCAATTTTATTTTATTTTATTTTATTTATTTATTGTTTTGCAGTATGCGGGCCTCTCACCACTGTGGCCTCTCCCGCTGCGGAGCACAGGCTCCGGATGCGCAGGCCCAGCGGCCATGGGCCAGGGGCCCAGCCTTTCCGCGGAACGTGGGATCCTGCCGGACCGGGGCACGAACCTGCGTCCCCTGCATAGGCAGGCGGACTCCCAACCACTGCGCCACCAGGGAAGCCCTTATTTTATTTTATTTTATTTTATTTTTTTGGCTGTGTTTGGTCTTTGTTGCTGCGTGCAGGCTTAGTTGTGGCGAGCAGGGGCTACTCTTTGTTGCTGTGCGCGGGCTTCTCATTCTGTTGGCTTCTGTTGTTGTGGAGCACGGGCTCTAGGCGTGTGGGCTCAGTAGTTGTGGCTCGCGGGCTCTAGAGCACAGGCTCAGTAGTTGTGGTGCATGGGCTTAGTTGCTCCGCGGCATGTGGGATCTTCCAGGACCAAGGCTCGAACCTGTGTCCCCTGCATTGGCAGGCAGATTCTTAACCACTGCGCCACCAGGGAAGCCCCGATTCTTTTTTATTGTTTAATATTCTTTTCCAGTATGGTTTAATCACAGGATATTGCATATCATTCCCTGTGCTATACAATAGGACCTTGTTTTTATCCATCCTATATTTAATAGTTTACATCTGCTAATCCCACACTCCCAGTCCTTTCCTCCCCCCAACCCCCTCCCCATTGGCAACAAGTGATTCCATGACTTCTTTACAGTGTTTAATACTTTATTAAATTAAATTTGACCTGGAAGTTACTCTTTTAACCAGAAGCTAAGATGAGAGGGAAAATGCCAAACAGAGAAGCAGATATGGATTGTACTGAGTGGAAACTTGCCATATAGAGGCAAAGAAACCATTCCACTTACAAAGTTCCAAGTGGCATTTTAGAGAAAGGAGAGTCTTGAGAGGGTGTTACTCTGAAAATCCCCAGTGGAGCCAGGAATTTTTCTGGTGGCAGCCATGGAAAGAGGGATATTAAAAACCATTGTTTTTAAGCATAGGCCAGAGTTCACTGAGCAATATCTGCTTGTTTGAATGGAGAGAGAATGAATAATATATGCAAATTCCATGTTTAAAGTCCCCTTGTTTAGAAGTCTGGACTGCTTGATTTTGTCTCCCTAATCTACTTAGGCAGAGACCTTTTCTTTTGTTTTAATATCAAATAGGCTTTAGCATGGGCAGGTCTAATGAGACTTTGCCATTGGTGGAGGCTTAACAGGGCATCAGGAGATTTTAAGTAAATTTCATTAGAAGGCTACAATCTCTACCTCACGAAAGATTACATTTTTTAAAATGTAAGGGGTCAGGATATCCCTCCAGTTTGCTAGAGCAATAGCCTAGAAATATCCCAAAACTCGGTTAGTAAAAGGAGAGAGTGGCCCAGGACACTTCCCTTAGCCACTCCTGGCTAAGAGTATTCACAAATTCCCCAGAAAAGATAATAGTTGTAAACAACAGAAACACACATTGCTTATACCCTCTCTTTTTCTTTCTAGTTAGTGAATTCACGTTTTAAAATTCCAAAAGTACAAGAGTAGACAATAATAAGTTCTATTTAACTCTTATCCAGTAACTTAATTCCCCTCCTCAGAGGTAACTAATATTACCAATATCTTATATATGCTTCAATGCATATATGTGCAAATGTACACACAGTTTTTATGCAAATGATAATTTTCCATGTACTCTGAAGCTTATTTTTTTCACTAAACTATATCTTGGAATTAATTCTGTATCAATAATAATTTTACCCATCTTTCTTCAGCAGCATAGTGTTCCATTGAATGGATGCCTCATAATTTATTTAATCAACTCTACATTGATGTAATGAGTTGTAAGTTTTTTGTACATATGTAAGTAATCTATAGGATAAATTCCTAGAGGTAGAATTATTGATTCTAAGAGTATATGTGTTTGTAATTTTTATAAATATTGCTAAATTACCCTACATAGAGGTTGTACTAATTTATGTTCCTATCAGCAGTATATGAAAATACCTCTTTAACACACTCTCATTAATACAGTGTTACCAAGCTTTGTGATCTTTTCCAATTTGTGGGGTTAACCATGATGTTTCAGTTTAATTTTATTTTGCCTTTCTCATTATGAGATTAAACATCTTTTCTTATAAGTTTTAGAGCCATTTATATTTCCTTTTATGTAAACTGTTCAAATTCTTTGCCTATTTATCTGTTGATTTATCTATAGGGGGTTTTTTTTCTTCTCTTTTTATTCAATTCTCTTTACTTTAGGGCAAAATGAATCTGGAGTTGCTGTCCATAATGAGAGAATATATTTAGTTGAGGAACATGCAGTTTGGACAAATGAGCCTCCAGCTTGTGTCCAGGTGAGTGGTTGAAGTTCCTTTTGAAATTTGTTCAAGTGGTTCAATGAGGTTACTTTTTGCAATGGTGCTACCGGATGAAGAGATATTTACATGTAGGAAGAGGCTTGGGCCCCCTTTGTTTATGCACCTAGTTCAGCCACTAAACTTCATCCTGTATCCTAAAAATGATGCCTCATAAATGATTGAGCCCTATTGAAAATAAAGATGGGGATGAGCTTTGAAAATAAATGTAATACATACTCAAAATAGAAAAATGGGATACCTTCACCTTTCTCATAAACCAAAAATACCTAGAAATCTTTGGGAATAGTACTTTCACCCCCCGCCCCAAACTTTGCAAACATCTCCTTTCCACTCCATTTCCTTATTTTCTATATCATAATTCATTCATTTCCATAGTGCTACTTACTAAGGGGTCCTGCTTCCTGGCAGAAGTGTGAAGGAGTGGTTTATGATTGGTCTGATGGAGCAACGTCTGCCCCAAAGGACAGCTCTTTAACACATCAGCATGCAAGCAGCCCAGGCTGGGCAAATTGCCAACTGAGCCTTTCAGAACAGCAATAGCTTTTGTTAATATATACCTCATGATTTGTTTTAATGCTTTTACAATTATTTTCATAGTTATTTTTCTACTTTACATGTTCTCTAGTAACATATGGACATGTGTTAGCCCTGACATTTCTCCTGATTGCCAGAAAAATATATCTTTCTAATTACTCATATTATCTAATCTCTTCTTTGTGGGAAGATTTTAAACAATTGCTTTAATGTATTTAATATTTGCAGGACTATTCAAACTTTAATTTCTTCTTCAGTCACATCTCACATGGTACACATATATTTTTCAAGAAACTTTCCATGTGGTCTAAGTCTTTACAATTGTTAGCATATAGTTCTTGTGTTTATAGTTGTTTAAAAAGTAAGATTCTTTATAGATTAAAAAACAGCAATTTGTGATATGAATTGCAAATATTTTCCCAACATTTCCACAGCATTAATGAATATTAAATATTATTTGTTGTCTTTATATTTGAATAACAACTTGGATGATATAAATTTCTTGGGTCATGATTTCTTTCCTTGATAATTTTAGAGGCATTTCTCCAGTCTTCTGGAATTGGATATTGTTGTGGAGAAGTCTGATGTCAGCCTGTTTTGTTTTTACCCTTTGTAGATGACTCATTATTTCTGCCTGGTTGTCCAAAGGGTTATTTCTTTATCTTCACAGTTCATCAATTGTATCAGGATATACCTGTGTTGACGATAATGTGTCAGTTTTTTTTTCTGAGACCTGACATACCCCTTCAAAATGAACGTTTCTTCAGTAATATTTCAAATATTTGTTCTGATCCATTATATAGGGATATTAGGTAAGTGTATGTTGTATCTCACTTGCCTGTCTTCTCTAGATATCATTGTATCTCTAATCATTTTAAATTATATTTATTTTCATTCATTTTGCTTGCTCTCTCTATCTAACCTCTATGTTCCTTTTTGCATTCTCATCAGTATCTGGTCTCTCCTGGTCTACTTCCCATTTTTACTCCATTTCTGATATTTTTAAAGCCACCATTCCCCCTAGAGATCTTCCAACTCGTGTTTCATTCATTTTGTTGTCTCTGTCCTCCTGAATCTTGTATCTCTGCCTTTTGCTCTTTATTAAAAAAATAATAATAATGTGGTAAAATATACATAATATTTACCATTTTAACTACTTTTAAGTGAATGGTTCTGTGGCATTATGTACATTCATATTGTTGTGCACCATCTACACCATCCATCTCCAGAACTTTTTTGTCTTCCACAACTGAAACTCTGTACTCGTTAAATACTAACTCCTCATTCCTAACCCCCTCCCCCAGCCCCTGACAACCACCATTCTACTTTCCATCTCTATGAATTTGACTACTCTAGGTACCTCACATAAGTGGAATTATGCAATATTTGTCTTTCTGTGACTGCCTTATTTTGTTTAGCATACTATCTTCAAGGTTCATCCATGTTGTAGCATATGTCAGAATCTCTTCCTTTCTTTTTTTAAGACTTTTTCTTTTTCAGAGCAGTTTTCAGTTCATAGCAAAGTTAAAAAGGAGGTACAGAGATTTCCCATACACTCCCTGCCTCCACACATGCATAGCCTCCCCCATGATCAACATCCCCCACCAGTGGTGCATTTGTTACAATTGATGAACCTACACTGACACATCATAGTCACTCGTTTACATCTGGGTTCATTCTTGGTGTTGTACATTCTATGGGTTTGGACAACTGTAAAATAACATGTATCCATCATTATGGTATCATACAGAGTATTTTCACTGCCCTAAAAACTTCTGTGCTCTGCTTATTCATCCTCTCCCTGCCCCAACCCCTGACAATCACAGATTTTTTACTGTCTCCATTTTCCAGAATGTCATATACTTGGAATTATACAATATGTAGTCTTTCAGTTGGCTTCTTTCACTTAATAATATGCATTTCACTTAATAATATGCATTTCACTTAATAATATGCATTTAAGTTTCCTCCATGTCCTTATTTATTTATTTATTGGCTGCATTGGTTGCTGCACGTGGGCTTTCTCTAGTTGCGGTGAGCGGGGTCTGCTCTTCATTGCGGTGCACGAAGTATACGTTGCGTTGCTTCTCATTGCAATGGCTTCTCTTGTTGTGGAGCACGGGCTCTAGGTGTGTGGGCTTCAGTATTTGTGGCACACGGGCTCAGTAGTTGTGGCTTGCAGGCTCTAGAGTGAAGGCTCAGTAGTTGTGGCACACCGGCTTAGTTGTTCTGTGGCATGCAGGATCTTCCCGGACCAGGGCTCAAACCCCTGTCCCCTGCATTGGCAGGCAGATTCTTAACCACTGTGTCACCAGGGAAGTCTGTGTCCTTTTATGGCTTAATAGCTCATTTCTTTTTAGCGCTGAATAATATTCCATTGTCTGGATGTACTACAGTTTATTTCAACATTCACCTACTGAGATACATCTTGGTTGCTTCCAAGTTCTAGCAATTATTAATAAAGCTGTTATAAACATCCTTGTGCAGGATTTTGTATGGACATAAGTTTTCACCACATTTGGGTAAATGCCAAGGAACGTAACTGCTGGATTGTATGGTAAGAGTATATTTAGCTTTATAAGAAACTGCCAAACTGTCTTCCAAAGTAGTTGTACCATTTTGTTTTCCCATCAGCAATAAATGTTGCTCCACATCCTTGCTAACACTTGGTATTGTCAGTGTTCTGGATTTTGACCATTCTAATAGGTTTGTAGTGGTATCTCATTGTTGTTTTAATTTCCATTCCCTGATGACATATGATGTGGAGAATCTTTTCATATGCTTATTTGTCATCTGTATATCTTCTTTGGTGATGTGTCTGTTAAGGTCTTTGGCACATTTTAAAATCAGGCTATTTTCTTATTGTTGAGTTTTAAGAGCCTTTTGTATATTTTGTATAACAGTCCTTTATCATATATGTCTTTTGCCAATATTTTTCTCTCAGTCTGTGGCTTGTCTTCTCACTCTTGATGTTGTCTTTCACAGAGCAGTTTTAAATTTTAATGAAATTCAGCTTACCAATTATTTCTTTCATAGATTGTGCCTTTGGTGTTATATCTAAAAAGCTATCATCCTGCCCAAAGTCAACTAGGTTTGCTCCTGTATTATCTTCTACTTTTACATACATTTCATAGTTTTGCATTTTACATCTAAGTATATGATTCATTTTGAATTAATGTAATGTAATTTCTTTGTCTAGATTCATGGTTTTGCATGTGGATGTCCAGTTATCCCAACATTGTTTGTTGAAAAGACTATTTTTCTCCATTGTATTGTCTTTGTTCCTTATGTCAAAGATCAGTTGACTATATTTTGTTGTGTTTTTGTTTTATGGCCACACAGCTTGTGGAATCTCGGTTCCCTGACCAGGGATTGAACCTGGGCCAGAGCAGTGAAAGCCCAGAATCCTAACCACTAGGCCACCAGGAAACTCCCCCAGTTGACTACATTTATGTGTGTTTACTTCTAGGCTCTCTTTCTGTTCCATTCATCTATTTGTTGATTCTTTCGCCATTACCACACTGTCTTGATTACTGTAGCCTTATAGTAATACTTGAAATCTGGTAGTTTCAGCGTTCCAACTTTGTTCTTCTCCTTCAATATTGTGTTGACTATTCTGAGTCCTTAGTCTCTCCGTATAAACACTAGAATCAGTTTTTCTATATCCAAAAAATAACTTTCTGGGATTTTGATTGGGATTTCATTGGATCATAGATGAAGTTGGGAAGAACTGATATCTTGACAGTATTGAGTCTTCCTCAGTATTGAACATGGACTATTTCTCTATTTATTTAGTTTTTCATAGTTTGCCTCAGATAGATCTTGTACCTATTTTATTAGATTTGTACTTAACTATTTTGTTTTTTTGGAGTGCTAATGTAAATGGTATTGTGTTTTTAATTTCAAATTCCACTTATTCATTGCTAGTATATAGGAAAGCAACTGACTTTTGTATATTAATCTTGTATCCTACAACCTTGTTGTAATTGTTCCTTAGTTCCAGAAGTTTTTTATTGATTCTTTTGAATTTTCTACATAGACAATCACGTCACCTGCAAACAAAGATAATTTTATTTCTTCCTTTCCAATCTGTATACTTTTTTTTTCTCATCTTACTGCCTTAACTAGGACTTCTAGTATGGTGTTGAAAATAGGTGGTAAGAAGGGACATCCTTGTTCCTGATCTTAGCAGGAAAACTTCTAGTTTCTTACCATTAAGTATGTTAGCTGTAGGTTTTTTGGTAGTTATTCTTTATCATATTGAGGCAGTTCCCTTACACTCTATTCTTCTCTTCCTGAGTTTTTCTTTGATTTTGTCAAATGCTTTTTCTGTATCTATTGATATGATCCTGTGCTTTTTCTTTTTTAGCCTGTTCATATGATGTTATATTAATTAACTTTCAAAAGCTGTACCTGCCTTGCATACCTGGGATAAATCCCAC